AGGTTGCGCAACTTTGATCATTTTCTTTGAATTAAAATACAAAAAAGAAGTGCTTAAGCATGCTATAATTAAATGCTTTACATACAATAAAGCCGTTACTAACTATAATTACCTGGAAAAATTTAGTTAATTTTATTATGCAAATGATAGACATTAGCTAGATCATCTCAGTCCTGTACCGCTTCCTTATATACCCCCCCCCCCCCCCGCCCCTCTATGAATACCCCAGCTATGAATACAGCCTCATGCTTAAGACCACCAAATGTTTCCACTCCTCCCCTACTGATGAGCCTCGGGAGTGGTTAGTCTTTCTATTAAATGTCTAAATGGGGTAAGAGGTGAAACAGAACTATTTACCATATATAACTATTCTTATTAAGCATGAGCTTGTCATTATTAGGTGACATCCAGGGCTTGGCAGGGGCTGGCATTAGAGAAATTTCAAAACAAAGTTCCTGATCTTGAAAATTTCGTATGAAGTCTCCTTGACCCTAAACCTTAAACGTAAAAAATCCCTCAAAGACACGAAATGTCGACTACAATCGTAATTTTTCTGTCTTATCGACCACTAAAACGATATCCAGCTTTGCTCGGTGCCGGCTGTGCCGAGCCCTGGTCACATCCGAATTAAGAATTGTGCCTGAAAAACAGTCTTTTACGGTTAAATCCTTTGGTTTCGCGGTTATTGCTCACTGAATTATAATTTTGAACTCGTAAAATTGCTAAATATAGGGAATAACCGGGAAAGTCCATGACTGTTGAAACCAAAATCGTGATTGATTTCACCATAATACTGCGGAATCTTGCACAAATAGCTTTTGCTATGCGCTCCGTATATCATATCGGAACTGCTTTACCTATTTTCTAGAATAAAGTAAACAAAGGGAGACCTTATATTTTAGATGCGACAGTCCCTTCGCTAGAGAATAGAATTCGCGAAATGTCAGTGTAAATGCTGGTATTGATCTAGGCAACAATTCTGGTTTCCCTGGCAATGGAAAAAGAAATTTTCGTTGGCTGAGTAAAAAACTGCGCTGGATGGGTGGAAGACCTTATGAATGGTTGATTTATATCTGAAGGCTTTGTTGCTATTTTTGAAACAAACTTCGTATTCTTAGAAAAAATCAAATCCAAAATTGTGATTTATTTTCCAAACAGCTGCCAATAAGAAAACCTTAATGGTGATTTGAAGTCCATTGGACTCTGAATGCAGTGCTTCATATAGAACTGATCAGTAGCGGTTCCTCAGCTTCAAGGTAACTATCACTCTCAGTCTCTCAGTGACAAGCTGCGTTTTATTCTGAAGGTCGAATATAGACTCCGACCGGCTTGTCTTTGCTATTTATCTTCTGAACAAGAAGATGGTTACCGCAGTCTGCCACACTCTTCTTAGACAACTAATATCTCTTAAGCTGGCAGTTGTGAAAATCTGTTAGTAATAATCTATATTCGAAATATATTTGGCATTCTTCTCACAAGTGCGCAGCTTTGTGACACTTAATGGCAGCTCTCCAAGAGAAGCATCCGCCAGTCGAAATTAGTGCTTCCCCAACAATTTGCTAGCGAAATTAATGGAGAAGGGAGGGTGGAGGGGGAATGTTTGGCACAGAGTGAAAGCCAATCAGTTGGCCAATCTTGTGTCTTCTCATGTTCTGCTTGTCTATGTACATCGCAAATAACAGTACTAGCGTAGTTGCTTTGACTCAGAGAGCATGTTACTCTGTGAAAAAATCTTATTATTTCGCACGTCCTAGCCCTCTTGCTATTCCTTTCGATAAATACACGAACGAAATTATCTATCATTGTTCCCGAAGATCCTCCCTACACACGCTTTTTACTTCCGCGGCCACAGATTTCCCAAACAAATGGTGTTCCTTGTCGACATGAGCAAAAACAAGGCTGCATGTGCACAGGAAGCACTGGCGACAATTTTCGGAGTCGATAAACATTTTAGCGGCTGCAAAAACACCGAGAGCAAAACCTCTGAAGAAGGAATTGATGAAGTAAATTTGGCAATGTCTCCCTCCCAGAAACACAAAGATCGCAATGAACATTCTCGTCTCTGCCTCTGGATGATCAACGGCCAAGTAATTTGCGTCTAACCCTTTGCATGTCATGCTATGCTAATTGTGCGCGTATTCGGCGCTGAGGAGGCCTGATCGACCATCGAAAACACTTCTCTCTTCCACACCGTTGTCATGAACCGGTTTGTTATTATATTATGGGAATCATACGGTGTGAGAAAAAACTCTTCATCGCAAAAGGATCATATACTGGCTTGTAAAGTCATACCCTAGAATTCAAATTTATTTGGAGGGCTAGTTCCATCTCAGGCTTGTCCTAAGATTTCTGGACATTTTGAGACAATATGAAATTGTTTCTCACGTCATTTATCAGTCACTAGTCAGACTACATCAAACCCTCCTGCTTTACTGCGACTGGGCTAATTTCGAAGCCAATATGTGCCCTTTCAACTCTCACCTCCCCACAGACAATTGACCGCAAGTGCTGGACATTCAGGGAACGAACCTCTCGCAGCCCTCAGAGGAAACTACACCTGAAGTTTCTGTTCGTTCAGTGTGGCATCAAATTCTTGCGGAAATTCCCATTTGCGACCCTCAGATTTCTGTGATAGTAAACAGAATCTTGTGAAATTGCTGCAAATATTAGGTTGGCTAAAAAGTAAGTTCGTTTTGGCATACAAATTGTCATAAAAAATTTTCTTGCTGTTTTCAATCTATGATTTTTTGTGGGAAAGTAGTTCGAAGCTTCCTCTATCAAATATCAAATAATCAGGATTTTCTATCGTCAGTAAAGACAGTTATGCCTCAACATGGCAAATATTCCAAAAGCTCAATTCTTTGACTTCTTGAGCATCGTTTTCATGCTGTAATGGATGTAAAAAACAGCATTTTGGTGTTTGGATACGGAAGAGTTATCCTTATCCAATACCCAGTGAAGTGCTCTCAGAGATACCAAACATTGGACAAAAAATTGTCCACAGCATTTGTAAGAGCTGAAAAAGCGACCGAACTTATTTATTAGCCAACCTAATAATTCTTGTCCGGTGGAAACCCCGTCACTTCTTAACATTCTCACAGAGATCAGTGCAATATCTTAGGATTTCTAATATCAACAAAAAGTGCTTTCGTGGCTCTTTGACTAGCACTCGAAAGAAAAATAAATACTTATGTAATAACACAATTCCAATAACAATTTTCTTATCGATCATTTCGGCGACTTCCACATTTTTTTTCGCATTCGTCACGGCAATGTGGAACCACGCACGAAACAGAGTTATTTGGAAAAAAATCAGTGTTTTCCTTATAGAAGAACTGAATTTTTATGACTGGATGATAGCGGTGCAAAATAGGTCCTGATACAGTTGAAATGGTAATCAAAAGCAATTGAGAGAGTAAATCGTTACGACATTCGTGACGTTCAGATTTATTGGAAAGGAGTCAAAACCTAAAGAAAGGAAGTTGAACTGTGAAATCGGATCCATCTTATGCGGTCAAATACAGGCTTTCGGAAAATAATTGTTTTTTCCACCTAACTACTTTAGTCACTTGCTTGCACGAATGCAAATGGTTTTTGTCGTTTTTGAGCATATTCTTGTGTTGGAACAAATAAATACAAATTTCACGCTTTTTGGAAGCCAAGATTGATGTCATTTCCTCAGCTAGTCAGCATTAGTTATGCAATCTCGGGCGCTGAGCCAAAGAATATCGTACGCTATCCATTTTGAACATCTGTCGTCTCCAGCCTCAAAATAAATTACTGATGTTCCCTCGGTTACCCTTTGCATCGAATCTTTACCTGAAGTGCATCGTGGAACTGTCATTCTTCTTTCGGTCAAAGTGTAGCTGTGCGTCTCTTTTTCACTTTATTTGATGCATGATCCAGCAGACTGTTGTTTATAGTGCGAAGTCAGATTAGCGTAGCCAACATCATTGATGCCGAAACTGGTAAAGGATGTTTACAGCGCGACCCGGCCATAGAAAGGGCCACACACTGAAAACAGAAACTTGCGCATTGTCGAGAACGAAATCAATCATGCTGATTGAGTGTCTCAAATTCACCAAAAAATTTTAAAATTTTGGAGGTATGAATACTCGCAAAAAATCCCGAATTTCAGGAAGTAAACAGGCCCATGCTTATTGAATAGGGACGCTGCCATGGAAATATCCATGCAACACTCATAATTAAGTCAGGCAGCGACAAGGGATGTCTCAAATGGACCCAATAAACAAGCTCGATGGAGGGAGGGGGTAGATTTGATAAATTGCCGAGACGGAGATGTACACGAACTACCCTAGAGAGCAATGTTGCCTACATAACTTTTCGTATACAAGATTCTTCTCACTGAAGTTGAATTCTCGGGATTTTTTTCATGATTTTTTGAGAGCACAGGGAGAAGACTGTGCGTTGCGTGATGCTTTGAATGTTAATCAGGCCAATGCAAACCTGAAGAAAAGCGCGTAAGCTACCAGTGGGTTCCTTAACATTGTGTCAAGTTGATCTGGGTAACGAAATGATTGTATTCAACAAACAAAACTCCAAACCACGATTGACAGCATTCTGTCGGATCGCTCCATTTTTTCCGATGTCAGCGATGTGCCCAGCTGCTCGTTTCAACTTTTGCCAAACATCAAGTTTGAGTTAAAAGCTTCCATGAAAAAAAAATAAAAAAGCTTTCTGAGGTCAACCCAGTAACGAATTTTTTCAAAAGTTGAACTCTTAAAACTCTCTGTTTATCGAGTCGAGTAGACCGAGACCCCTAAAACTAAGCTCATATCATGTTTGGATTTGGGCTTTTCCATTAGAGCGATAAACGATGACGGTACTTGCGCTGCGGTACTAGCCATTGCTGTCAAGACAGTCTCGCGCCTATCCAGCTGAGTAATCACGCCAACACTCTAGTCAGACCTTCTCCATACAACTTTCATGTTTTTGCTCTCTTCTAAGCGTTCAGTAACCCGTGCTGAGCGCGACAATCCTGAGTACGTCGGGTGGCGGATGACGCATAGGGGCCCGCCCCGATCTTTTGACGATGGCCTCGCTCGGCTGCTGCGAAGGCCACGCCTTCTACCAATTCACTTTCAGCCATGTTTCGCCGAATTACTGTCATCGTTCTGCTCTGCACTGCCTCCGCTTATGCTGGATTTTTCGATGATGTCACTGGTGAGGAATGCCCTTCATTTTCTTCATTTCTCAACAGGCTTCTTTTCGGGTCTTCCCAGCTCACACATCGCAAGCTAGAGGTCCACAAAAACTAGAAAATAAGCTCGTTCACGGGTTTTACAAGACTAGAAAATAAGCTCGTTCACGGGTTTTACAAGACTCAACAGCAGAATTCTCAATGTTGAAACGGGTGGTCACTAGTCACTCGATTTAGAGCGCATGAATAATTTCCTAGCTATACGAAGGATGGAGCGTGCGCGGCTATTGGATTAGGTAGTGGACCGAGAGCACATTGGTGCGGAAATTCCACCACTATCATAGTGTGCGTGCTTGAAGAAGTCGCTGTGAAGATGAGGTTGAAAGAGAAAAAAAGCAAGGAAAAAATCCTCACCTTCCATAAGTGAGATATCTTAGCTTGTAGCTTCTCTTTCACAATCACTCTATTTACCTAAATCATAGCATAAAAGGCCGCTTTTTTGATCTAGTTAAGTCCGCCTTCAACTACCCTAAAATTCTTGAGTTTAAAAAGCGGCCTTATCTGTATCAGGCTTGCTTTTTGACGGATTTATCGGCGGAGTAGCCTTATATGCCAGATACTACTTCATGTCCATATGCTTCAGTTCAGCAGAGAGAATGAATTTTGATAGGCAATACTATCACACTTAGAGATTGATCAATGAAGCACATTTTTCTTTCTCATTCTGAGTGTAAAAGACATTTTTTCTCGCAGAGTTTCAATAGCTTTTGAATCTCTTCATATTTCGCAAATATTGACAGTGACCTTGGATATTCCAATACTTTCGTTCTATCCTTTAACAAGAAATAAATATTGAAATGTTGCATATGCTTCAACATAATCGCCCATTTTCTTTTAGCGCATTAAAAATACATCAACTTTCCATCTTCATCTATGTGGTACATAAGAAGTCACTCCATTTTTCTTTTTAGGTATGGCATCCGATGTTGGAGATTTCTTCGGAAAGCAGTTCAATAACGTAAAAGATCTATTTGCCACTAGCCAATCGGTACGTTCATTTCGCATCTTTAGATCACCTCGTGACATTCTAGACACCGATGTAGCCTATGACATTGTGGTTGAGTCCAAACGAGAGTACCCTTTTGAATCCGTTTTCTTCCGAAGTGTACTTTTTACAAATGGAAAAAGATCATCCAATTACGCACATAATGCATTTTTGTTCCAGGAACTCGAGAAGAACATCAACAGGGTGAAGGATTTATTATATGCTGTCAAAGAGAAAGTAAAGGTTTGTAGCGTGCATTCCATAAATCTATAGATTTTGGTGGTCAGAGGACATTGTTTTTAGACACTCGAGCCTTTAGCTAATGACGCGCAGAGGAAGACTTTAGGACAGGTTGACTACTATTTGGAGGAAGTCAAACAGTTCGGCGAACAGGTTTGTGCTTTTTTCTCTGCGCGAAAGTTGGTGAAGTCATTCTAATAAACTCCTTGGAAAAACATTAATTTTCTGCAAAATTTTCTGGCTACAAGATCTTTATCAGCTGTAGGAAGAGGCAGCTCCTCCATATGTGGTCCATTATGCTCCATTTTGGAACCGGTTGCTTACGAACCGCCTTCGTTATGAATATGCACGCCTGGTTTTGGCAGATCGCCGGCAAATTTCCACATGCGCATCTGCTGTCGATGAGTAACCAAGGTCATTGCTGTCAGCATAGCCTCGGCATGTTTACTACCCTCCAATGGCGCATTAAAAGCTGCAGGAGGCAGAGGAAGAAACGAAGGGAAGGGGACCACTGATCAAAGAGCGCATTTTTAGAGTGCAATTAGGTTGTGGCAGTTTGTGTAGACTTCCTGCGTCTTTCATTGACACTGGTGTTCATTGCACGCAATGGTAAGACTGAGTAAACTCCATTTGAACGTTGTCAAAAGCCTTTGAGCAAATAGTTCTTATCTCTGCTATCCTAGTCACGTCGCAGAAGATAAACGGGGAGCCCTTTTTTATTAGGTTAACCTAGTCTAGTTAGCCTCGTTTCAGTTGCTATAGGTTCACTCGAGCTAGCTCTTGGTGACCGGTTCGCTGCTGAGAGGTAAATAAACGCGGGACAACAGTGGTTCCACAAATAATCCCTAGTTCTGGTCTTTGATCACCGAATTCTAGCCAGCATTTTCAAAGGTACTCTGGAAGGGGTTCTCGAATTTCTCGGTAGTAGCTACTATAGTGCCGATGTTTTTGTGGATTTGTTAATCATCCCAGCATCTTACAGTTTATCAAAATCTGTAATCTAAAGATAGCTCCAATATAAGGCCGCCTCGGACATATCTAGCAAGATTTTAGGGAAGTTATAAGGGAAAAAGGGCGAACTTAACCAAAGACGATGATATGCCATATTTTAGAGAAATGGTTATTTTTTCTAATCGTAGAAGCCATTAGGATGGGAAAGTTTTATTTGAACTCTTCTAGAAATGCGGAGTTCTTTTTGAGTTACGTTAATCAAACTACCGTCGTAATTTATCAATTAATTTGTTTACATAAGTTCTCTCCTAGTTCCAAATAACTTTTTTCAATGATATTGCGAATGCCTTCCCACTGGATTGCCTCAGGTACTTAGCGCATCTCTCCTTACAGTATCTACCTCCTGGGGGATCTGCTCTTGATTATAGTGGCGCTAAATATGCGATCAGGAAAATCCGCGACATGAGAATGTAATATGAGAATTGCCGGAAGCATTTAGTCTGAGACGCCTGCAACTGAATAACTGACAAGGCACCTCGTAAACATCTCGTTCTGGTGGACACTGCTTATTACGGGAAAAGCAGATGACAAGCTGGGGATGAGCTCGCGTCCCTAGCCCTTCAAAATCATTCTGGAAAATAATTTTTGTGGGTCGGAGTACTTACTAAAACGTGACAAAGTCTGCATATTATAGTCATCGTAATTCTTTTTTGAAAACTATCTCATCCAGAGAATGAACTTGGAGGGGTTAGTCGCTGATTTGAGAGAGTATGAAGAAATGCTTGAGGGAGGGATTTCATGCTTCATTGAACCCAATTATATCAGTCCTCCAGCGGTCTGTTTGGAGGAACTATAGTGATCGAAAAACTACTAAAGGGAGTCTTTTTCTGAGACGGGAAGAGAAATGATCTTTTTTGATGTTAATTGCTTTCAACTTCAAGAACTTTTTGTGTTACTCAAAAACAGGTTACGGTCTGTGTTTGAGAGTTATGTCTGTTGCTGCTGAGCGATGAATATTTTTCATTGCAACAGAGGCCTTGGAAAAAATAGAAACGTTCGAAATCCTGGATATTTTTGAAGCAAAAATCAGCATTCTCACATCGCGGTATAAAAACTACTGAAAATCACACAAATTGCATTATTACAACTTCGAATTGTTGCAAATGCTAAAAACCTCGGAAGCTCCTATCATTTTTCTTTTGGGTTTTATGATCTGCATTTTTGAACTAGAATATATTGTTTATTGAGCTTCGATACAGAATAAAATCCTTCGGTGTAATGAAATGCTCAAATTTTATACGCAACAAAAAAATACTATTCAGATTAAGGCGCTGCTCCTGACGTTCCTGACTTTTTTGGAACTTTCGGTGCAAGACTTATGTTAATACATTTGGTGTCTTGATGTCTGTAAATCATCATCCTAATTGCTACCTATCACAAAAAATTGGCACTATCACTGTACAAACGATCCCTATGTGCCCATTCTTTGATCTCAATCGCTCACATCTGCACTTTTCAGGTTGGCAAGGATGGTACGGCTAAATTCGAGGAGAACAAGGGCAAATGGCAGCAGATGTTGAATGACATCTTCGAGAAAGGAGGCTTCAACAACGTGCTCGCTCTGCTCAACTTGAAATCCGCTGGTCAATGTACATTCGTTGCAGCCATTGTTGCTCCTGTTATTCTAGCATTCATTCGCTAAACATTCACCTTGCATTGATGTAGCATATCTCCCATTGTAATCGACATTTTGTTCCATTTGTGCGTGTATTTAGCTATGTACTTATATGTGAAATTTTTTGTGCACCGTCGTGTTCACCTCTCTTGGTATAAGTCGCACTCCGATGTCTCACCTATGATTCCACTTCTAGTTAGAATTAAGAGTTAACAATGTTTTGAATGTAAATTTCATAAAAATATTTTTTGTTCAAGTGCGCTGTTTTTACTTTCAGGTGAAGTAAAACATTAAAGTTCTTCTGATCAAAGAAAATGAATTTTGAAGTAATGAACGGCTTGATTCATTCACAATTAGAGCGATGTATACTTTCGAGATCTGTCATTTAACTTCAGTTCTATTTGAAAGATTTTTTTTGGTTGAAGAACCATCCCTAGAACAGTGGTCCCAAAAATTTTTCTTAATGGAACAGGGCCAGTTTTTTCATGATGAAAAGACGTTAGCCACAGCCTCGGGAATTCTTCTGGGATATTCTTGGATTTTTCGAATTTTCTTGGTAATCTGATTATGGAAAAACATGTGTTAGATTATTTTTTACAGAATTCATAGAAATTACTCGATAATTGCAGGTAACAAGTTGACCGCTCAGCGGTACTCATGCTCACTTGCAAATTTCGCGAAGTGTGATCCATCTCCCAACTTTTTATTCTTATCACACCCAAATAATTCACTGTCAGTCATTTATTTGAGCACTTTCGGGCGTAGCTGGTCGAAGGCGAAAACCGACTGTACAATGACACCAAACTCATAGTCTGCTTTCCAACCTCTCTTCGATCTCAAGCAATTTTGGTCGAGGATCTTTGCCAGCCCGAATCCATGAACGTCCACGGCAACCATTGTTTGCCCTTAGTCGACAGCCAGCGTTTTCATTCGAATCGTTAGGTGTACTAGCAGTAGTAGTAGAGACCTTGCGCTGGCAATAACACAACCTGCAGAGGCAGAAAAGACGGTGACAACAAAGAGCGCCACCAGAACCTGTTCCTGTAATGAGCTGGATGTGAGTGTGCGTTGTGAGTAAATGGGACTGGCAAATCAAAGTTATCCTAGACGTGAGCGTACGAGGGAGGCACAGCAATTTTGTTAGTAACCTACTACTTCTAGAAAGTTTTCTTAGCCAAAATCTGCTAGAGAAGGGGGGGGGGGGGGGTAAATTTGAGATGTTGTTAGTGACAAAAAAGCTGAGGAAGTTGAAAAAGGAGCATGTATTTGAGAATTAGTGGGTCCCTCCTACTTCCCCCCCCCCCTCTCCCCCTCTCCCGAAGGTTGCGAAATTTGCAAAAATGGCCTACATGAGTTATAAAATTGCACAAGTAACTTTTTAGTTTTTTTTTTTCAGTTATAGATTATGAAAAGATTCTTTGACTTCATTTCCACATTGGCCCTCTGAAGAATATTTTTAACATCTTCCTGAAGAGTTTTCGAGAAGATCTCATTCGCAATGAACTCGATACCTGATCCATTTGCTTTGCGTATTTTGATCTTTTAGGACACAATAATGCAATGATGAAATTCATTTTGCTAGAAATTTTGTCGAAAACATTTCTCGGTAACCGCAATTAGCCTCATTAACATATTTAGCTTTTTGTCCAAAACAACTTGTTGTTCACGTGTGGTCTGCAAGCTGGGCCAGATTTCAGGGCTGTAGATCCAGTAACCCCTAAAAATTGGCGAGAACAAATCAATATATTTATAGCACGAAAAGATATCCTTGGATACGATAGTTTTGAGCATTGACCATCCCTTCGAACTCCAGCCATTTCGATGTTGCGTTTTTACGAACTGCTGGATTAAATAAAGGTTCAATGATCAAGTGTGCGTGATGAATACTAATCTTTTTCAGAAGGGATAAATACGGGATGAACATTGAAATGCGCTACAAGAGGATTATCCATAAAAACGTGACGAATCTACGAAATTATGCAAAACTCAATCATCGTGAAAAATATATTGTCGCAATTTAACGTAGTTAAATATGCTCCAGAAGTTTGAACTAGCTAATTACTGATTAGAACCTATTTCTATCTTTCGGCAACTCTCATCATTTATTTGCAATGGCAGCCGTAGCTTGTCGTATTTCTCAGTTACTATAAAAGATTACTGTCGTCGTATTAGGCATAGTGCTGACCATTAGGAGAAGAAAAAGCTCTTGCATATATGACAGCAGTCGGTGTAACTGTCACGTTTGCTTTATGAAATACTTCCACTCTGATAAGGAAGAACCACAAAAGAATAGCATGAATGGGTGTGGTGGGATAAATTTCACAGGAACTCTACAGCCTTCGATATTTCTCGTGAGAGGAGTGCCCGACATGAGTGCGGAAGATCTTTCGATGAAGTCTTTGACAATCCTCGGGAAATTAAATTTCGCACACGGGCTTTAAATTTGTAAGAGATACTTGCAGAAGAGATATAGTATTGGTGGAAAGAGTTTCTATTTTCCGCCAACTTTTTTCCACTCGGTGCAGATTGCAATTTTGTGAGTCATCAGTCAATGCTCATGTACAGTTTTCTTTGCCTTTCAGCAGGTTCAGAAACGGAACTAGAAATTCTTCATAGTATTGCAAAGTATGATAATACAAAATTTTTCTGATTTTAGCTCCATTCTTCATTTTGGGGGGTAGAAGCGGCAACTGGTGGAGTTATTCTGTAAATGCTCTATTTTCTTTAGAATTTTGTTTAGAATCACAATGTAGCGAGCGTCTCCTTGTACAAATGGATGGAAGAACATTCAATACATTCATCGCATGGTTTTTTTGAGGAAGAATTTCGAAGGTCTCCGCTAAAAACCTTACCAGACCATATAAGATATTCCACTTAAAATCAAACATATTACTGAGAATCTTTCGAACAAATCGATGACAAAGCATTTCGGAGTTGAGAGTGTCATCGCTATTGACGGTACTTTTGCGATGTCAAACCTGTATGTGCACAACTGAGCAGATAATAGCGTCATGTGTTCAAGGCCGTAGAGTCATTCGTCGTTTGCGAAAATTTTAACAATACCGTAGTCATGTAGATACAAAGCGGGAGGAGACAATGACCCCACTTTTGAAGTCATTGGTAGCGTCTGCAAGTCTCATCATAGATCGCTAGGGGCCTAATTTTTTCGATTTGTAGAGGCTCGTAAATTTTGATCCATTATTCAGCATATTATCATAAATGTGAACATATTGAACTACGTGGAGCACGTAATGGATTGGTTGACTTGCAGAAAAGGCGTCAATAACCAATTGTGCATAATTCCCATTTGCCCTTGCAAATAGAGTTCATTTTCCCATCTGTGAGTGACTCAGTGTAAAGTATTTGTACAGCTGTTTTTTTTTCACATGCAGTGTTGCACAAGCGAGACGCAGACTAAAATTCCATGGGTTGAGCAAATAATTTGGTAAATATTAGGTTGGCTAGAAAGTTCTTGCGTAATTCAAACAAAATTCAATAACTTTTCAGTGACTAAACCTAAATTCAAAATCTTGCTCTTTAAAAATATTAGAAGGCCTGCGCTCCATGATGGATGTTTAAGCGCGAGATTTCATGAGCTAGTCCCCGAGAACGAAGCTCTCAAATATGGGACTTCAAAAATGGCAATCATACCTTCGATAGTCAAGAGACAGAGGCTAGAAAGTGATAGTTGTTTGAGTTCCTGCCCCCTATAAAAAGTGAAGGTTGTTTCAGAAAAATAGACGAAAATTTAGAGATACAAAATAAAATAGGAAACTCAGAAAATTCATATAAAGCAGAGGTTAGCACATCACCAAATCTGAAACCTTAACTTGGTGGTTTCCTACGCAGTGTTTCGTCTCCAGGATTGCCGGTTAAATTGGGTGGCAACAACAACAAAGTTCTTTTCCAATCAAAAAAAGCGCTGTTTAGCTGTGGCGTTAGTCGGGAGACCGAAAGAAGAAGAACTTGTCAACAACTGAATTGAACGTGTTAAACATGTCCGTAAAGTTGTGTTGCACATCGACGCCAATCTGATTTTTGATGCGTCCTTTAAATTTTCACCCCCGCATAGTCGTTTCGTACGCTGCGACGTTGTCTGGATTCCTCCGCTCATCATTCTGAGCAAGTAGCATCCAAGCTGGAAAAAATTCGTTGCAAAAGCACAGAAAGAGAACAAGGTAAAGAAAAACGCACTTTTTTGTATTTTTCACAAAAAAACCGGCATAAGAAAGAAGTAAGCTCGGCGACGTTGTCTACATCATAGACAGAAACAAGACCTATCGAATACACAAAAAAACTGAGTGAAAAAAGTTAAACTGAAGAAAAAACAAGAGGTTTTCGAAAACGCCGTTTTTCGAGGATTTCTCGTTTAAATCCTAAAAAGAAGTTCCGCGACGTTGTCAGCGTGAAAATAAAGATCAAGAGCTTTGATATGATATATAGATTATCGAAATTGGGCTCCGAACAACGAAGAAAAGGGTACCAGAGCCAAATGCCCCGCGCCCCGCATTTGAGGTAGCGAGGTAGCGCGCAGCGCGCGGAGACGCAGACGAGCAGCGGAGACAGACCAGAGCCGACGGGGCATTTGGCTCTGGTCGTGGATCTTCGCGGGGTCTCAACGAAACCCTGCAACATTATATATCGTTGTGATCCTCATGAGACGGCCAGCAGCACTGACAACGTCGCGGGTCTTGAAAATCACTCCATAACGAGATAGACCAGCATTCATATGGTGACTCTTTGCGCAAGATTTGAGCGCAGTTTTTCGTTTTTATTGAACTCTGGCGGCTTTAGTGAACTTCCAACATTCAACCGCAGTTCAGAGAAAGGTTAATTGAGAAATTTTGCCCTAGATTTTGATTGAATTTTCAAATAAAAACCTTCTTCTCAACAAAAAAGGCCATAAAAACGCAATCCTTCGGTTTTTTTGAGCTTCTTTTGAATGTCACTGCTGTATTTGCCTCATTTAAATTTATCCCTATACGGTTATGTCATTAGTTATGTCATAATTTCCGGGGCTTCGCCCCGGATGACTTCTGTACTTCTCCCCAGGTGAAGGTTGTGTTCTATCATGACGCTCAAAGTGAGGGTTACCAGAGTACATGGCTCTATGTATCGAAGGTATGATGGCAATTTTGAGTTTGGTGCCAGAAAATCGCAGAGTGCCGCTAGCTAGCCGAAAAAAATCTGTAAAAATTACTTACACTGCAGAAGTCCATACGTTCTTTTAGCAGGCTTTG